CAAGCAGCGGTATCAACGGTGTTGGCTCTTGTTCCACATGCACAACGTGGATCCGTCGATGCCATTCCTGGTTTGCAATTTTTTGGGGCGGCACGCCGAGAGATGCCTGCCCATGGCAACGGTGTCCGGTCAGATTTTGGGACGGCCCTTGTTCGGGCTTCAGCTGAGACTGCGTCATCGACAGCAGGGCCTGTTGCACCTTCAGTTTTGGATCGGGTTTCTACGCCTGCGTTGGCATTGGAAGACAGACGTCCATCGGCAGTGGCAATGGCCAGCAGCACCAGGGAAAATGAGCGCTCCAACGAGGCCGCTGCAAAAGAGCATCCGCATGTGCCGGCATCCGTTGCTGTGCCGCCAACGGAGCAAGGGCATAGCAAAGAATCGGAGGATTTGGAGTTGAGCCTTGCTGCCTTGGCTGAGGCGCATTATGAGCGCCCATTGCCATCTGTGGAGGCTTTGCCGACTGGAGAAGCTAAGACCCGTGGCGATAAGATGCGCAAGCCGGCGGCTGCTGCATTTGCACAAGGCAAGAAGATGCGCAAACCGGCTGCTGCAGAGAAAACAACTGCTGCATCTTGCACATTGAAGCGGCCAGCAGCTGCTGTGAAACCGAAGGCTCGCGGCAGGGCTGTGGCTGTTACCAGCAGCAAGACGGCGACCAGGTCGCAAGCCAAGCGACTGCGTCCGGAGGGCTGCGGCAAGTCACAGCAAGCATTGGCAACGCGTCCATGATTGTCGGTCGGATCCGCTGCTTGCTGGCTGAAAGCAATTGTGTGTGATAACACATATTCCAAAGCAGCCAAGCAATTCGATTTGTGCACGTCGCACATATATACACCGCAATTACGTGGCGCCAAGAAAAAGATGCGCTAATGGAACGACTTGTTCCACCACACGTCAAATATAATAACACATAAACACATTTAGGTTTGTCACATATTATTGACACCAACAATATTAACACCAATTATACCATATATTTATTATAGATAACAGAAACAATATATACATTCACTTTCCCCATGTTGTTGTATACAATCTCGGCATGGTGTTTCTAACTGCAGCGCGACATGATCTGGATTGTTTCTTCGGACTGTAGCATTTTTCCTCAAAGCAAGAGATCCCTGAGCTACGCACTATGTCTCAGACGAGCAATGTGCTGCTTGTCTCTGGGGCTGCGCAGATGGCTTTTGAGAGCCTGAAAAAGAACGCAACCCAAAAAGATCTTCATGACCTGGGTAACGGCTCCGTGGAATTGCTGCGTGAAGTGTTAACGCAGGTCGTGATTGGAGAGAAGTATCCGGAGCTGAAGCAAACAGCAGAAGCCTTAGGGCTGCTGCTGCTCCTTCTAAGAGGACTCCTGCTTGAGTGGGATTGCGAAGACTTTCCCGAAGCAATTTTTGAATTGCCATTGCAGCGTTTGCCAAAAACGTATCCCAACAAAGCATGGAAATTGGCACACCCATCTCTGCGGGTTCTAGCGCCGCGGAAGAGACGAAAACGAGTCTTCGCTTCCTGGAAAGCCACGCAGCTTTCGAAGGCGAGCCATGGAAGTGGCTGGCAGATACCTTCCGGACGGTGGAAATGGCCTTAGAGCAAAGCATGCTGAAGCGGCCAATGTTTTTGAATGTGTCTGTATCGGCACTGATTTCGAGAAAAAAAACGCCTTGATTTGGGCATGTTTGCAATTGCTGTTGTTGCACGCGGTGGCTTACAAAGAATCCCCATGGACAGCTTGTGCATCGTCGACATGGCGCTAGAGTAGGCAACCGCTGCTATGGGGCATTTTTTGTTTGCATGCTATGTGTCTCTGACGTAGTCGCATCGAACTAGGAGGAAAAACCGGTGCCTGCTGTGCTGTTGCAAGACAATGAAACCCTTCATAGCGTGCTGACATGACTTGCGCAATGAAACGCATATCAAAAAAATATATATATATATATATACATGATCATATATAGATATACATATGTCCGTCCACACACATGTAGGTATGATATATATTTCATACATGTCTCGTTATATAAGCACAGTACAGGTTTGTCCGATCCACTTCCGCTGTTTTTTGTGGCCCAGTTGGTGTAAAGAACATGCTTCCAACGCCCCCGTTGAAGCGCCGGCGCCTGGAAAGCGTCATGGCGCGGTATAGTGAAAACAGTATTGCACAAATGCAAAACTGTGAGAGGGATCAGAAAATTGAGAAGCAAAGAACAGGAGCGCAGAAGCGCGCATTCGCGCTCGCGCTAGCTCCAGCCCGACACTGCTTCAGAGCGCTCGATGCGCCAAACAAAGACGATGGGGGACAAGCTGTGACTTTCACAGTGGCAAAAATCCCAGAGCTCCTCCAATACATCGCAAGCAAATGCCCTGATGTCCGAGCCGATTTGGAAAGGGCGTCTTCGCCTATCCAAGTAGTTCTCAGCTGGGATGAGACCACAGCTGGCAATGTGCTGGCCACCGCAGCACGCATGAAGGCCACAATATTCTATATCACCTTCAAGCATTGGCAACGCGTGCATGAGTCACAGCATGCATGGATCCCAGTAGGTGCAATTAGCCACGAGCAAGCGGAGCAGATACCTGGCGGTATGAGCTTGGTCCATAAGTTGTTTCTAGAAAACTGGTTGGAACAACGCTTGGACCAAGGTATCTGGCTATCGCCGAGCACGAAAATCTATCTGCAACTGACTCTTTTCGTTGCAGACGCAGACGCGCAAAGAGCCGCGCTGGCTGGAAAGGGAAGCGCAGGTCTGAAATGCTGCGCGTTTTGCCGAAACTGCTTGGCAAAAAACTCAACTGGAGCAGCTGTGGACACAACAAATTTTCGCAGCATAGCGGAAGCGAACGTAAACTGGTTCACTCCCAACACACAAGAGCAGCTCCAAAATTATATCCGGAAAGCATTGATCCGCTGGCCAGACATGACAAAGAAGGATAAGGACATCATAGAACGATGTCTCGGGTTCAACGTCAGTCCCAACACTGTGTGGACATCCGACATGTGCTGCACAGCGCTACCTTTGTCGCGCTACATGAATGATTCGATGCACTGCTACTTCGCCAATGGCATTGCAGCCGTGGAAATAAACTTGCTAGTGCAAGAAGTGACGCGCAGCACGGGCAAAACCATTGGGGACATCAAGCAAGCAGTGCTCCAAGCTGGCTGGAAAAGACCGGGGCAGTTATTGCGAGAGGGTCAAACAAACTGCTGGACTGGTCGTTTGTTTGTTGCGTCTTTTTTTCTTGGTCAGATATACAAGGGGAGCGCCAAGCAAACCCGTGCATTGCTGCCTCTCCTTTTGTGGTTGGCAGAAAGTGTCTGGAGCAAGATTGAGTCGCTGCGGCCTATGGTGGACTCCTTCATGAAGCTGTGCCAATGTGTGAATTAAATGCTTGCAGAAAATTGCGAGCAGTCATGACTGGGACGAACTCGAAAGAGTGCAAGAAGCCCACCAGCTGGCGTTCATTCGCAGTTATCCGGAAGAAATTCGGCCCAAACACCATCATCGGTTGCATTTGCCGCAACAATACCGTGCCGCAGACTTTGTTGCCACATGCTGGGGCACAGAGTCAAAGCATCGCTGCTACAAAAGCATATATGCCCGGAACCTTCAACAGTTCCTGACGGAGAGAAATGGAGGAGTAGAGTTTTCTGAACGGCTGCTCCCACGACTTCTCCTCCGCAGTGCAGAACTCTGTAAGAACATGACCTTTCAACCAGGAACATTCCAACTGGAGGGGCTGTTCGATGAAGCTGAAGTCAATAGATTGGCGGCTGGTCTGGAAGGCTGTCGCGTCGGAGCCCGTTGTCGCATGGCGTTGCTGCAGCTGCAAGAAGGGGATCTCTTGCTGGGGATCTCTTGCTGCACGGCAAAAAATCCACAGAGGCCGGAGTGTGTCACTTCTTCATTGACCAAGCCAATGAATTGTTCATCTACGCGACTGTCTACTCGCTGGTGCAACACACGGCTGCAATGAGAAGATTCGAACGCACTACCAACAAAAAAATGCTGAAATGGACCAACTTGGTCACGCCTGCCGTGTGCAGCTGGTGGCGCTCGACAAACCAAAATGACATTTTCTGCATGCCTTGATGAAAAAAAGCTGCTTGCGCCATGTGTCCACCCTTCAACCGTTCAATTCGCATCAAAAACATGAAAATCTAGGCATAAACGGCAATTTCTACATTCTAAAAACTTAGCAAAGTTATAACATAGTTAGAAATCAACTCATAACTGGCCTAACTTAAGTTATGTTAACTTCAAACTATCTTCCATAACCCACTTATATATTGTCTAACTTCATCTTAACATGGGGGCACCACTTTGTAGTAATATATATATATGGGTAAATACCCTCCAGTAAATCAACAGCTCGACCCTGCCAGATAGGGGTTGGAAGATTAGTTTCCTTTCAGGGTCAAACTGTTAATCACCAGAGGGTAATATATCTGGGTAAATTGTAATATGTCACATTTGTAGATATATTATCTATATCAGATTTACTAATAAGGAAACTACATTGTAGTTATATGTCAATAATATTCACATTAATAATATCAGATTATAGTTAGTTTCACATTTGTTCAATGGGAATTTCAGAATCCTAAAGTGGAGGTGCTGTACCATATCAGGCCATATGAATTGTGGGGATATTCCTTACATAGGCCTCAAAAATAGGCCAACAATACCTCCAATTTAGGTTCCTGAAATCATTGCCATTCTTAGATAGCCTGCAAAAAATAAATTCTTTGCTGGTGAACATAGATATTCCCATTGATACCAAAAGACTAGTTAGGATTAAACTAGCCGTCTAAGATTGACCTACATATGGAGGTCATTGGGGACCATTTCCCAAATATGGTTGAACATTAAACACACATGAAACCACTATCTCAATTTCCCATATGAAATCGGGAATGGGATGGCCATTGATTTGTAGGTTTAAGTCAATCTGTGGTCCCTCAGGTCATGGTGAAGCCACAACGGCTGCCAGGCGTCGAGTTTCACCGCACAGCAGGCAGCACCAATTTTCGCTGCCGGGACAACCCTGATGGCCTCAGGGAAGCCCTAAGATGGGAAGATATCTACAGACAATATCTATCATAGATATCATATATATATTATATATATATAAATGATAGATTATATATAAGAAATATGTATATATATATATGTATATCATAGATATAATGACATCTATATTGATATAGATATCAATAGCCAATATCTACGATCAATTTAAGGGATTTATCCGCAAACTTATGGCTATTTGGATCAGGGAATTATCATCAACTATGAGATTTAGGGGGCGGCTTGCCCACAATCTTCCCTAAAAGCAATGATCATCAAACAATTTGTGCATGATGACTGAGGTCTCTATAGGTTTCTAATGTTTCTATACTGAGCAATCACTGATCTCGCCAGCGTGAAGAGAGACGTATAGCTAACAGCACTTTGGATTGATACCTGAGTACCAGTTTGAGTTCTGAAGTTCAGGCAACATCAAAGTCCGTGCACCTTCCCAAAACTGGCTTCCGTATTGAATCTAGATTTCAACTGTCTTCAAACATGCTGTTGGCAAGGGTTCATGTGCTATTCTTATTGAATCATATTGTCTTGCTCCCTCACGCAAGTGGCGCAGGCAAAATTGTAGCAGAAGAGCGCCATCTTTGCTCATTTTCCACCTGAAATGGCATCGTTTTCTCTTTAGAGGCCAAGGTTCATTGGTTGTGGAAGGCCATGCTGGATCTCTTGATGAACTTCCTGAGCTATCTCTGGTATCTCAACAAATTGCCACTCATCGGAAACCCATTCGACTTTGTTGCTTTGTTTCCACTGCGAGGCTGTCAAAACCGCTCTTCATCATGCGACAAAGTGCGGTTTTTAGGTCTTTTAACCTGAGGTATAGTAGCACATAGTAGCACCAAAGCCATTCTTTGATGTGGCCTATCACAATGGATAACAATGGCCAACACAGTACCATGGTTTTTCGCTCCCGCTGGTGCTGGATCTTCATCTCCCAATTATCTCGGGATTACAATCATTGACCTGAAATAAGTTGGATATAGTTACAGCTAGTAGCCCTATCAATATCTATTCAATTCATATCCAGAAAAAAAAACTAATAAAACAAACTATCATCCTAGTGATGGTTAATCACAGTGAATCAAAAATTATCCAGATAAGTATCCCATGATATCCCCACTATTCCATTATGAACCCATGTTGGGCAAAAAAAAAAACATGAATCCCTGCAGATCTCTCTCACGTTTTGTGCACCATGCCATGGTTAAACATTCATCCAAGCCCGAGAATCCTTACGATGGATATATATATATATATATATACCCAGATGCTCCATGTATGGTATATTTACCTACATTTGGGTGATTTTCAGGGTAAATGTTGGTAAATATTCCATACATGGAGCATATGGGATATATATATCTTTGAATGAATCCCTATGAAAATGGATTGATGACCAGCTTCCAGTCCAGTTTGGGTAATAGAATCCATCTTACTTGACCATGGCAGCCATGGCACAGGTATGTCAGTTGGAATTTCGAATAAATATCAGTTCAATTGGGAAAAACTGGTATTAAACCACAGATCCCCTAGCTTTTGATATAATTACTCTATACTATATATTATCATTATCATTATTACTATTATTATTAATTATCATATAGGTATATAATTATCATTCCGTATATCATATAGAACGGCAGACGAAATTACGGATGTACAAAATATGATGCCATGCGCACACTCGGCGTGTAAGGCGAAGCAAGACGGAATGAATCCATGAGGATTACAGTATGCTCGGTTACTCATATATATATACTGACTATATTGATACACTATTCTATGTATATATATATACTGACTATATTGATATACTATTCTATGTATATATATATATAAATATATTATAGTACTATATTATATATTATTTAATATTATATACTATATATATAGTATATACCATATACTATATCCATACTATCTATACACATTCAATATGTGTTTCGATCCATCCCTTGAAGAATTTCTGCAGGCATCTGTGGGGCGAAGGGATGGCTGAACTCCTCCACGTGAGGGCAATGCTTCAATTCCTGGCTGCGGAAGGGCGGCTCGGGTCATCCCAAAATATACACCATGTTGATCCATGTTGTATGTAGAACAAAAGTAATATAGCAATATAATATATTTTATATATAGTAATATGATAATATGTGATACTATATATATATGATAATATGATAATATAGTAATTTAGTATATTTTATATATAGTAATATAATATAATAGAATATGATATAGTAATTTGTGTACATATATATATATAGTAATAATATAGTAATCATGCAAAAGATATAATATGATAGAATATATGGATTATACATTGGTAAAATATAGAATGATTATAACTTATATGTTTCTTATATGTATATATATATTATATTCTACATAATATATATATATTATATATACATGTAATCCTGGAGTAGATAGAATATAACATGGATTATATTGGAAAAGTCAAAACATAAGCACAATAATGAGAATAATCTTGAACAATACATGTTCTATCTACTTCAGGATGACTACATATAATATATACGTAGCGCACATAGACAATAAATAAATATAAATAAATAAATACATATATATATATATGTATATATTATACACATAATAACTAACCATATTCCCAATAAATTTCGCACATGCTGGATTTATGATTCAGAAGATATGGGCATCTCAATGGCATCTCCGCAAGTCAACGGTGACTCTCATCATTTTTCCCCATGAACATTGCCAAGCTCACTGGCCATCTCAGGAACCGATTGATTGGAGGTACCTACCATATATAAGGCCTATTTTTGAGGGCTATGTGAAGGAAGATCCCCACAATTCATATGGCCAAACAAGTTATAAGTTGGTTTATAAACCATTATAATCCCCATTAACTAGTTCGTTATATCTGCCATAAACCATATTTTTTTCAGCCACAAAAATAAACCAACTGAACGCTATCTGAAGGGGGGCCCATCGCCAAGCTTCCACGGTGCCACCACGATCTTCTTCACCATGATCTAAAAGCCTCGCCGACAAAACAGGTCAAAAATGCTCAAGATCAACGGCCCTAAAAATATAGCAAGAGGCGGAGCATGGCGGAGCAACGTGTCGACACATGCGTTAGTTAAATCAAATTTTTCATGGGATTTCGAAGAGGGATTTTTGAGATGTTGCTGTGATCATAGTATATATCTCATTTTAAAATCATCAATGCTAAAATCCCATGAGATATATACAAACATCGTATAAATGTGATTTTTGAGATTAAAAAACAACCATTTTAAGCGTATTTTTTGCCCCATCATCTGATGATTTGCGTGCCGCCATGTTCCAAAAGGCTCAAGGTAAGCGAACAGAATGGCTTGTTCTACAGCTGACCATCGGTTCCCTCTTTTGACAACTTGAAATCTTAATGGTAAAGCCCATCAACTGGCATTCATCAGTTGCCCCACTCTTGTTGCTGCCACATGGTTTTTTTGGTGGATACACCCTCAAAATCATCCAGTACGCAGCCAGACAAAATCAGTTCTATACTGGTTGGTGGTTTCAACCATTTTGAAAAATATTAGTCAATGGGAAGGATCATCCCATATATGAAATGGAAAATGATCCATTCATGTTTGAACCCACCAAGCAGCATATATCCAATCATTCACCAAGGCAGCTGCGGCCGAAGGAACCAGTTGATAGCAGCCTCCTTATCCGCCGGATTGCCAATGGCCTGCAGCGCTTCCCGAACTTTCGCTTGGTCAAAGCCCAAGTTGGTCAAATCCTGCGGACAAAAATCGCTGGGGACTTCCAGGTGTTCAGCTGGGCAAAAAAAGGGATGGTGCAAAATGTTGTTTACCATAGATTGGCCAATAAGAGGGTTTTTGAGCGAAACAAACAACTTCATGTTGATCTATTCTGATGGGAAATTCACTGCAGGCTATGACTCTTTTTACGAGCCAATGTCACCTGCAAAGTGCGCGAGGCCATGGAAGTTGAAATCGCGAGCGCCCAGTGCTCAGCTTGATGGAGAGAAAGCTGCAGAAGCACAACCTGAAACTGAAAAAGGCGGCCATCAAGGGATGAGTCCAAAGCATTGCCAATCAGCCAGATACCCTGCAAAAAAAATAAATTCTTTGCTGGTTAGTATAGATATTCCCATACCAAAAGACAACAGTTAGGATTAAACTAGCCATCTAGTCGATTGACCATGATTGACCTAGAAAGCCCATCAAAGCCCTGATGAACATGAACATAGCTGCGGACCTTTCTAGTGCGGATGGACTTGGCGGACCAAACATGGATAATCTCCCGAAGGATTCACCATGAATGCACTGGGGATGAACCTCAACTGGTTGGTAGTGCTGGCTGTGCCCATCTTGCAAAATGATGGAGTGAAAGTCAATGGGTTTCGGATGACATCCCATATATGAAATGGAAAATAATCCATTCATGTTTGAACCAGTCAACTAAGATCAACACAAGCATCTTTCAAAAAACATGTTTGGACATGGACATCTGATACCGTCAACCAACTTGTGTGATTCTCGAAAATGGGGAATATCGCAAGGGTACCATTTTCTTTGTGGATGCCCCACGAAAAAACACATTGGGATCTTCAATTTCTAAATCTGCAAAAAGATGTTTTTTTTGGATATTGCTAAGCCATGCTTCGCCATCCCATCTTTCTTGGCCACTTGCCCGTTCCATCGTAAAGGGCACCATGACCAAGTGCGAAAAGCGGTCAGCCCGCCTTTTTTTGCCGCAACATCCCAGGCATCTTTGGCCGGATTTCCATGGCTCGATTTCCAAAAATTCCATGGCCCGCCCCATGGTTTTTACCGGAGGGCAACCGATTTTTCGAACAAGTTTCCAAGTTCGATCACTTTCCGGTGTTCCCGTAGCAACTTGGTCCTAAAGTTCATCATCGCAAGCGATCAGAAGACCCAAGCAGCAGAAACCTGCTGTGGTTTCAGGCACCAGTTTCAGTGCGCGCGCAGTTTCAACACATCCCAAAAATTATTGCCACTCAGCCAGATCGCGTGCAAAAAAATAAAAATTCTTTGCTGGTTTGTAGATATTCCCATTGATACCAAAAGACTAGTTAGGATTAAAGTATCCATCTAAGATTGACCTAGTTCACTCATCATCATAGAAATAGTTGTTTACCTAAAAGAATAGCGATTTTCCAAAGTTTGACCATCTAAGATTGACCTAGATATGGAGGTCATTGGGGACCATTATCCCAAATATGGTTAAACACACATGAAACCACTAACCAGTGCTTCATTTCAGATCTTAAGTCGTGCTGTCGTGCCGTTTTTCGCAACACCAAATTTTGAAGATCAGTCATGTTCATCCCCATCTGGTGATGCAGATTACCCTCTGGTAATTTAACATAGCTATGGAAAATCACTATTTTTTATGGGAAAATCCACTATTTCTATGGCCATTTTCAATAGCTATTTTGACATAACCAGAGGGTAGAGGGAATAATATGGAATAAAGCCATGTAGCCACAAAGCCTATGATGTCATCGATCGAAGTTTTGAGATTTGGCCAACTTCCAGATGACCTAGTTCACTCATCTAGACCCTCCAAGCATCGAACTCAGATGACCTGATTTTCGGTAGAAAGACATTAAAGACATCCAAAATATTCAAAGCCCTTAATTATCATCATGTGAGCTTGCAAGTTCTGCTTGAGCAACCACAGAAAATCATCATCATGATTCCAGTTCTCCCAAAAAAGAGCAAGTGGTATTCGGCCTGGTCTCCAAATCGGTGGTTGGCCCCCTTAAAGAAAGAGTACAAGATGGACAAATTTTGCAATAACATTCTCGATCGTGTTTGCTTCATTAATGTGGGGCCCCCCGTTTTCGATAGATAAGTTGGTGCAAAAAACTCCAATTTCACTATGGATTATGAAGGTTTATGATACGCAAATAACTATATTATATAATTATAAAATGTCATTTGCGTATCATAAACCTTATTTAAATTATAAACCATAGTTAATGGGCTTTATAAACCATCAAACATAATTGAAAAGGCCCCACATTCTACGCTCCTGTGTCATCACACGGCCCGCCACCTTTGATTCCCGGACAAAAAATCCCGTTTCAGTTTCGTCCCAAAAAATAATCGTTTTTGTTTGGTGAGTCCCCATTCACCATAAAACAATCCGACAAAATCGCATAAAATCCTGTATATATATAATCTCTGGTTGGTGGTTTTAACCATCTTGAAAAATATTAGTCAATGAGAAGAATTATCCCATATATTATGGACAAATAAAATTCATGTTCCAAACCACCAACCAGATATACATAACAACAACAGAAACACAGATATGAATCCCATTTACTCTCTGGTTATTTAGCAGTTTGCCATGGTATAGATGGCCCATGGAAATAGAGGATAATAGAGGTTTACCGAACTTAAAAATTGTGATTTTCCATGGCAAACTGTTGGTCATAACCAGATGGTAATCCCCATCCCCATCCCCATCGCATCTCTCATCCCACCCATGATATCCGCGACGTCTTTTTCGCGAACTCAGGCTCCATTGGCCACATCCTCTTTGGGAGCCTGCAGCGGGGATCTGAGCCGTAGGTGAGCCTCCTTGGATTTAACCATGAAACTGTGGGTTAATCATTGCCAATCAGCCAGATAGCCTGCAAAAAATGGACCAAATTCTTTGCTGGTGAACGTAGATATTCCCATTAATACCAAAAGACTAGTTAGAATTAAAGTATCCATCTAAGATTAACCTATAGTAATGATGATCTTCTGGTTGGTGGTATACCTACACCTCTGAAAAATGATGGAGTTCGTCAGTTGGGATGATGATTATTCCCAACTGAATGAAACAATAAAAAATGTTCCAAACCACCAACCAGGATAATTTATCATATGGGGGGGAAAAATGGAGCTACCCCAAGTTTTTCCAAAATGTATGCTTTATATCTATAGATGATTTCGGGGTAGCCGTATTTTAGGACCCCCCCATATAGGGATATTCTATGGGTTTTTTGTTGGGATATATAATATGGGATATAGGCAGCCCAAATGAGAGCTGAGTTGACGCACATAACTGCTCGACTTCGGTTGATTGGGGGGGTATAACTATAGTATTCATGGGTTCAAAACCAAGAAACATCACTGGGGGGCCTAACCTTGTAAGACTCTCTTTCATTGATTAATAGGGGAGCTTTTGTAAACAGGCTTAGTAAATCTGGAGTGTGATGTGGTTTCTGAGTGGATCCGAAGGAGATTGCAGGAATTTTGCGCAATTTGGTTTCCCCTCATTTTTTCAACAATCTGATGGATTCTGATTTCCATCTGATGGATTCTGAAAACTGATACTTGGTGGATTTTCAAGGATTGTGATGAAGGGAATGTCCTTGACTTTGGGACGAGTTTTTTTTTTGCACCGTTGCCCAGCCTCACCAACATCATCCATCATGGAATCCCACAGCGCGTCGAAGTCTGCCTAAGTAATCTCATCCCCCTTATGTTTTACTAAGTACAGTAATCTCATCCCCCTTATGTTGGAACCTCCTAGAGGTTTCCAACTATATGGAAGTTCTCTATTAAACCACGGCTGATATTCGCTGTTTTTAATGCCTCAGAGGGCTTTCTCAGATTTTCGGCAGTTTCAGTGGCTCACCCAAAAAAACGGTGGTGAGAAAAAAATCCTTGTGGTTGACTAAGGTTCCAACTCCCTTGAGTAATATTCGAACCATATTTGTCACTTGAGCAGTGTTCAAAACCCGCTGTCCATTCTATTATACTGGTTGGCTAAGAATGGGATTTCCAAAAGGGATTATGATCATCTCCAATCAAAAATACCTGGTTCTCTAAGAGTTTGCTATCGAAGCCATGGCCCATTTAGTTCGATGATTTAGTTCAATGATTATGAAATTGCAGTTCTTAAACTTGGCGATTTTCCATAGCTACGTTAAATATCACCAAATGCTATTTGTTGGGATCATCATCCCAACAAAGGAAATCTTCTGATGGATTTGTTACCTGATCCACCTGTCCCAAATCTTTATAGTCAAATTGGAATCATCTAAAATCATGGTCAATCTTAGATACCCTGCAAAAGATGAACAAATCTTAGCTGGTGAACGTAGATCTTAGATATTCCTTTTTGTAGCAAGAGATTAATGGGGCCCCCAATAACTATGGTTTATGATGGTTTATGGTACTTATAACTATAGTTATGGGTTATGGGGGCTTATAAACCAACAAACATCACTGGGGGGCCCCACATTCTACCCATCCAGTCGGTTGACCGAAAAAAATCATGCTGTTAACACCACTGTGTCAACTGGATGAAGCCACTACACCAGACCCTTTTTAACGTTAAAACCAAGTCCCTTGACCACGACCAACTTTTGTTGCTTATACATGTTCAAAAAGCAGTTGAACCCTCTTGGTCATGTGATAAAACCATATAAATCCTCTCTAAAACGCCAATTCTGTTTGTGGTATGGTTTCAAATACACCCCAAATGTCCCCAAATGGCAAAGTGGTGCGATGCTTCATTCGTACTAGATTAACCTCTCAGAATTGAACATGGCTGGAAAACCGAAAGTTGAATGGGCAAAATATGGGACATCTGTAAGTGGAAGGCTTTCATATTTTTCTTTTTGCCAGGTACCCACTGGGAATTTGTTACGGTTTGCTATGGAAAATTGCCATAGGAATAGTTGATTTAGCCATCAAAAATGCTGATTTACCAGGTCCACCAGGCTGTACGTTCCTACGCCTCGTGTCACGTTGACGAGACACGTCGACGATCCCCGCTTTGTCGGGTGCAGCTGGTGCAGCAGCTCCTGCCGATTCGCCCCTACAAGGTGGTGCCCTTTTTGCCAACGTTGGTAGGACATACGTCCAATCACTAGACTAAAATGGTATGCATATGAATGAAATGAATATATATATATATATCATACACATGTATATATATAATATGCATATATATATATATGCATATATATATATATGCATATATATATATAAATGCATGTATATGTAGATGGTTTATGCGGGTTAT